TAATAGAGACGGGGTTTCACCATGTTAGCCAGGATGGTCTCGATCTCCTGACCTCGTGATCCGCCCGCCTCAGCCTCCCAAAGTGCTGGGATTACAGGCGTGAGCCACCGCGCCCAGCCAACCTATCCCATATTTTTAAAGAAGAGTGGATCACATAGTTATCCATTTTAGCTAAATGGGTAACTATAACATTCTTTAATGGAACTGTTGACAGAAGGATAATCAATAATTTTGCTAATTCATGCCACCCTCCTTTGTTGTATATTAGTAATATTTACATTGGGGCAACAAAATAGATCAGTATTTCCATTAATATTTACTTAATAACAGCTATTAAAAGTTATTACTGTTTGCAGTAACACAGAAGCACTTACCTGATTCTTATGCCAGCTTCTATAGGGTAGGTAGTGACAGCTGGTTTTGCAGGTGAGGAAGATGAGATTTAGAGGTGAGGTGTGTCTGCCTGAGGGCAGGAGCTGGTAAAGGGCACTCCGGGCTCATGGGAGTCACGCTGTTTTTCTTTTTCTAGGACCACAAGGTTATGTCTAAGATATAAGTTACAACTCTCATGTAGCTCTTCCAAATACTTAGATACACAGCTTTGGGGAGTTTTCTCAGCCAAATGCTTTTCATTAGCCCTTCTCATATTAACATTTAGGTCTTAGGGATTTGTTTTCAAAATATGTATAGCTTGTATAAGCCATTCACCTAAGTTCTTAGAGCAGACATTCTGCCTCTTGATCTTTAGAAAATACCTAGGAGTATTTTGTTAACAGTGCTCATTTCAACTGAAAGGCTTCATTTTAAAATTTAATTTAATTTAATTTTTTAATTATTTTTTGAGACAGACTCTTGCTCTATGTCTCCCAGGCTGGAGTGCAGTGGTGTCATCTTGACTCGTTGCAACGTCTGCCTCCTGGGTTCAAGTGATTCTCGTGCTTCAGCCACCCAAGTAGCTGGGATTACAGGCGTGTACCACCACCCCTGGCTAATTTTTGTATTTTTAGTAGAGATAGGGTTTCAAACTCTTGGCCTCAAGCAGTCTACCTGCCTTGGGCTCCCAAGATGCAGGGACTACAGGTGTGAACCACTGTGCCTGACTTTTTAGGCTTTCTTTAAAATGGCATCTTTTGGCCAGATGTGGTGGTAATGCCAGCACTTCTGGAGGCTGAGGCTGGAGGATTGCTTGAGCCCAGGAATTGGAGATCAGCCTGGGCAACATAGGGAGACCTTCTGTCTGCCAAAAAATTAAAAAACAAACACAAAAAAACCCCCTAGGTGTTACGGTGTACCCCTGTGGTCCCAGCTACTTGGGAAGCTGAGGTGGAAGGATTGCTTGAGCCCAGGAGGTTGAGGCTGCATTGAGCCATGATTGTGCTGCAGCACTCCAGCCTGGATGACAGAGTGAGACCATGTCTAAAAATCAATTAAATAAAATGACATCTTTGTAGAAGTGAATTTTACCCAGGTACCAAGCCCCTGCCTGTCCCTCCCAACTCCCTTCCCTGCCTCCCAGCACCCCCATCTGTTTTGGTTCTGCTGTTGCCATTCTCTGGCTTTGGGGACTTGCGGAAGCCCCACTGTCCCCATCTTCCAGCTGTACCCCTTCTCTCTGCTTCCCTGCTTGTCTTATTCTTTACAGGGCTGCCTGGGATTTCACATTCCTAAAGTTTTTGGGTTTGTTTTTGGATCATGCCAATATCAGTTCTTTTGAGAAGGGAGAAAGGGTATTTTGCATTTTCCTTTTAATCATCAGTGAGTAGCCACAAAGGGTGTGTCTTTCCCTCCTGTGCTGTGTTTACTGTGTACTCCCTCGGTGCATGAATTATTTCATGGCACCAGTGGAGCATGTTTTATTCTCTTTCCTGTTTGTGGCTTGCACCTCCTGAACGCTGCTATCATTCATGGTCCAGCTTGGTTTTCTTTTTCACTGTTTCTATCACAGAACATCCTGAAGACCAATGGTGTCAGTCATAGGATCCAAAACAGCTGGTTCCTAGGCCCTGCCTCATGCTCTGTGGCTTGGGCTTGTCTTTTCTTCCAGAATAAGTGGGTAACTTCTTCCTGCTTTTTTTTTCTTTTCTTCGTAAATGGGAGGAAAAGTGTCGAGTATGGAGACTGCCCTTTCATTTGAAGGAAATTCACAGTTCCAGCTCTGTAGCGTGGCGTCTCTTAACTAGTGGTCAACACTGGCTGTGGAAGGGGGGCCAGATGGCAAAGTGAAGCAGATTCTTTCCTCCTGTCTGCAGTTTGATTGCAGTATGAAGTTCAGCTTGCTTCAGTCTATGTCTTCATATTCTTCCACTAGGTACTGAATTTTGTGATCTGTTGGAAATAACAAGTAAATAGATGCCTAACACTTTATACAGATTGAGTATCTCTAATCCAAAAATCCAAAATCCAAAATGCTCCAAAAGTTTCAGCTTTTGGAGCACTGACATGATACCACAAGTGGAAAATTCCACACCTCACCTCATGTGACGGGTCACAGTCAAAACTCAGGCGCACGACCCACAGTTAATTTAGTGTCCCCAAGGGAAAAAAGACCCTCCTGGCCCCCTTCAGATGTGATGTGTCTTTTCCACACATGCCCAGATTCCCTCAAACACCTCCACAAAGGGTAATAAAATGGTTCATTGTACACAAACTTTGTTTCATGCACAAGATTATTAAAATATTATATAAAATGAGCTTTTAGAGAAGTGAGAAGAGAAATGAGAGGTAGGGAGGGAGGAGTTGTGGGACAGTTGGGGGAATAGTTGAAGGTAAGGTGTTTAGGCCAAGCTCTGAGGAGGTGACGTTTGAGTGGAGACTCACATGGTGAGAGAATGGGGCAACCTCCTGAAGGAGCAGAAGCACTGTGGGCAGCAGGGTATGAGCAGAGGAGGAGCTCAGTGTGTTGGAGGTTGGCGACTCCTGTGGAGTCTTGTGGGATGGTGTTGGGACAGGGATGGACCGTGGGGAGGCTGGATCATGGGGAATATGTTGCTTTAGGCCAAGCTGGAGATGATGGTGGCTCAGATCAGAGCTAAAGTAGTGGAGACACACAGACACTGAATGAATGATGAAGTTCACTCATTCTGCATGTGTCCCATGTGATGCATCCAAGTACTGTTTTAGGCACACCAAGTACTGTTTTAGCACACCAAGTACTGTTTTAGGCACTGGGGATATAATAGTGAACCAACTGGATCTGCCATTGTGTTGGTAGTGATGAGAGAGATCATGAGAAGAAAGGCCAGAGCCATGTCCTGCAGAGAGTGGTGTACTTTGGGAGGGAAGTGTGTGGGGTTGTCGAGGAACAGTGTGCTGCTCAGGGAGGAATGAGGTGGGACGGCCTTGTGGGAAGAGCAACCAAGATTCTCATAGGCTTGGGAGCTTGAACCCTGAGGTCTATTGCTGGACTAAATATGTGAGGTGTGAGAGGAGAGAAGAATCAGGAATGACTCTTTGATTTTTAACATGAGCAACTCAGAATGAGAGTACTACAGTTTAGAAGCTTGGAAGGTGGATTTTGTGGGGGAATGAATGAGTTATTAGACACCTCAGTGGATATACTCAGATGGATATATACATTAGAGCTCAGAAGAGTCTGGACTAGTGACATGAATTTGATCATCATCTAGAGTATGAGTGGCACAGGAAGCCACTTGTGTGGATGAGGTGACAGAGGAAATGGTTGAGGATAGCAACCAACATTTAGAGGCAAGGTAGAAGGCAGAGCAGTGTGGAATCAGGGAAGCCGAGAGCTTCCCTCAGCACAGTGGCACGAAGCTTGGACACCACCTCTTGTCTGTCCTGCTTAATTCCATTCACATCTAGAGTGGACTTGCTGTGTGCACACCGCTGACCACCTGCCTCATGTGACAATTGTTCCTCATGGATATTAGCCCCTTGCCTTTACCATGAGCCTCCTCAGAGGTCAGGGCACTGCCTGTTAGCATTTCTCTTGGTGTCATACACGTTGGGTGCTTCCCAAATTAATTACATCCATCAGAAAACTTCACTCTATCTGAGAAGCTTTAATGGTGGACTTGGGGATTATTAAATCCTAAAAAAGGTTATAACAAAAAGTTTTCTTGGTGTGTGTCTGTGCCTGGAATTTAGAAAATAAGTCATCCAGTACTGAGGCCATTTTATGAAAAGCCTTTAAAATCTACAAATGCATTGGCCCAGCAATTCTACTTCTAGGGATTTATCCTAAGAAAATAGTCTTGGGTATCTGCCAAGAATGTTCACTGGAGTGTTGTTTATAATGTGCAAAACAGGAGCTAACCTAAATGTCCAACAATAAGGGATTGGTTAAAAAAAAAAAAAAGCCTCATGGTGTGTATTCATACCCTGGAATTACTGTCCCCTTAAAATGATGATGTAGAAGGACATGTATTGACTTAGTAGAATATTAAGTGAAGGAAGTGTGTTTACAAATGTCATATTTTTGTCTGATTTCACTTGCCTTCATTTATAGAGAGTGGATAATTGGCATAGTGTTAACATTGTTTATCTTGGAATATTGAGATCGTTGATGATTTTTACTGTTTTTTTTTGTTGTTGTTATTACCTCTAAACTCTCTGTAGGAAGCATGCTTTCTTGATCAATAAAACTCAAAGTTGGAATTTATGCTTCTTTTATTCATAAAAAAATCATGTTTTTAATCTTAGGTTATCCTTTATGTTTACATTAATGCAGATACGGGGAGAACACAGTCTACCCGGCTCATGTCGAATATGCGTTTTGGAGTCCCCACTTTCCAGGTCACAGTGACAGTTTTCCAGTATAGAGTAGACTGATTGCCTTGTACCCTTCAGGCAGGGTGCAGTAGTAAGTTATTGATAGTTGGCTGCTGAGCTGTTGCTCAGGCCTTGGCAACTGACACTCTGCAGAAGGGACCAGGAGTGTGCAGTGGTGGAGTCGGGCTGGCCTGGGTTGCAGATTTAACTTTCGCGTGTCCCTCTGTGTGCCCCTGGGCTGTAAGTTTTAGTTTGCAAGGTTGACGGGGATGGCCTCTCCCATAGTCGGTTGGTGTGTGCTGCACAGTCTGTCCCAGAATGAATGTCAGCTAACTGGTTAGCCACCTAGACTGTCAGTCTGCAACCCACAGCTTTGCCGTGAACGATTGAACCTTATTTCTTTTTTCTTTTTTTTTTTTTTTTTGAGACGGAGTCTCGCTCTGTCGCCCAGGCTGGAGTGCAGTGGCGCAATCTCGGCTCACTGCATGCTCTGCCTCCTGGGTTCACGCCATTCTCCTGCCTCAGCCTCCCGAGTAGCTGGGACTACAGGTGCCCGCCACCATGCCCGGCTAATTTTTTGTATTTTTAGTAGAGATGGGGTTTCACTGTGTTAACCAGGATGGTCTCAATCTCCTGACCTAGTGATCCGCCCGCCTCGGTCTCCTAAAGTGCTGGGATTACAGGCGTGAGCCACCACACCTGGCCAAACCTTATTTCTTTAATAATAATACAGGATTCCTAAAAACCAACTGTATTATTGTTGGAAAAATAGTTTTAAAAATTATTTCCTTGTAACTGAGACGTTTACCCTCTTGTCTCCCTTCAGTCTGTGGGCCGGGCATCGACATCCGCAACGACTATCAGCAGCTGAAGCGCCTGGAGAACTGCACGGTGATCGAGGGCTACCTCCACATCCTGCTCATCTCCAAGGCCGAGGACTACCGCAGCTACCGCTTCCCCAAGCTCACGGTCATCACCGAGTACTTGCTGTTGTTCCGAGTGGCTGGCCTAGAGAGCCTCGGAGACCTGTTCCCCAACCTCACGGTAATCCGCGGCTGGAAACTCTTCTACAACTACGCCCTGGTCATCTTTGAGATGACCAATCTCAAGGATATTGGGCTTTACAACCTGAGGAACATTACTCGGGGGGCCATCAGGATTGAGAAAAATGCTGACCTCTGTTACCTCTCCACTGTGGACTGGTCCCTGATCCTGGATGCAGTGTCCAATAACTACATTGTGGGGAATAAGCCCCCAAAGGAATGCGGGGACCTGTGTCCGGGGACCATGGAGGAGAAGCCGATGTGCGAGAAGACCACCATCAACAATGAGTACAACTACCGCTGCTGGACCACAAACCGCTGCCAGAAAAGTAAGAATGATGCTGACTGCTGCTTTCTCTCTGCTTCTCTCTCTTCTCTCCTTCTCCTCCTTGACCTCCCTTCTCTTCTGAATGCACAAGTTCCACTGGGCAGGGTGCAGTCGTGTTGCATTTAGGACGTGGCACGCCTGCTGTGCGGAAGTGGTTCCCAGCGGGGGTCTTGGTTGGCTTTCCTTTGCATCTGGGACTCTTGGATTGCGGGACTGTGGCATGGCTGGAGGCCATCATGGCTGCTGTCAAGACTATTCAAATCACATGTTAGAAATAATCCACCACACTCCTGGGCTAGAAACTTGCTGACCTTCAGCTTTGAATTCCTGATGAGAAAAGGTGACCTGGTGTGCTTGGAAGTCCCTGAGCCTTGACAGCTGGGGGCTGCTTATGTGTCAGCTCTTTCATCCTTTGTGCAAAGTGGTATTTTTTGTTCTGCATGACTTCCTTAGTTTGAATGGACTTGGAATATGGTTAACTAAAGGGAAAGTAAAGCACTCACTCATATCCTGTGAAAGCAATCCTTGGGTCCTAGTGATGATGTTATGATGCTCAGGTGTCCTGGTTATGTCAGAGCACCTGGCCCAGGTGGGAGACCTCTGGACCCATTTCCACAAGTCCCAGGTTCAAGCTGTACTTGCAGTTAGCTGTGTAGCAGGGTGCATTTTTAAATCTCTGGCATTCTGTTTTTGTTCTTTTATACCTGTTTACTGAACAGTTGTGAAAATCTTAAGAATTCACAAGTGAAGGAAGTTTGCAAAGTGTTTATTGCTCTAGGGGTCAGAGAGTGGTATTTTGAAGTTCTTGTATATTTATCTGCAATATGCTTATTTTCCCTTGAGAATAACTGAGCTCTTGCCTTCATGTGATCAATTCCTTGAGAGCCAGGCTGTTTGGTATTAAAATGTGACGCTGAGCCTTCACCTTATTGCATTCAGCAATATTTACATATATTGGCTAGGAAGCTTTTCCTCACTAGTTGGAAGTCAATGTGTTAGCTATAAATAGCTATTATTTAAGTGTTGGCCCAGTTAAATATGCAAGGAACCCATGTTCTACAGTTACAAAGAGCCAAGAAACCCCAAATTGTTAGACTTGCCTAAAATAAATAAAAGGTGAGACCCCACGGAGGTAAAGTGTGTAAAATCAAGGCCAGACCTCAGAGGTAGCCCTTACTTCAGTTCCCCTTCAGCCAGGCCCGAGGAAGGAAAAGGATCTGTGTACCCTGATCTGCCACACACTTTTATACTCTGCAGAATTGGATCAGTGTGTATGTGAACATTGATTAGTAAGGGCAGGGGTCCCACTGGCTGCAGCCAGTACCTCGTAGAGCTCTGAGAATGCAGTCAGGCCACTTTAAGGTTGGCCAGAGTTGGAGGGTGGTAAAGTCACTTGTGTGATTGATTAAAACTGCCTTATCATTAAGTTACCCACTGGTTTGAGAAAACAACAAAATAATGTTTTTTAAATAACCTTGACATTTAAAACTTTTATCTGAAAAGTAAAAGGTGTTATCAAGGGAGGCAGCATGGAGTAGAAGAGAGATGTTGAACGTAGTGATGAGGGCCAGGAATGACCTTGGATGAGCCAGCCCCTCTGGGCTGTAGTTGGGCTTTTATAGACTATTTCTAGGGCAGTCAGTACATCCCTTAGCGGTGATCATATATGGGCATGAGGATGTTTTGAAAACTCATAAGCTCTTTACAGAAGGGACGTGCCGTATGAAACGTCATTAAGTGGGGAGTTGTTCAGGAACTAGGTAGGTAGTTACTTTGGGCTTGCCATGGGTTTTCGGCTGTTTCTGATCAGCTACTTATTGAAGACCCCTGGAATAGGGGTGAGGCCTGCATTCTGGATCCAAGTCTAAGAGGGGCAACTAGAAATGAGCAAGTTATTTAAATTGCCTGGGCTTCGGTTTCTTCATATGTGGAATGGGGTAAGGCCTGCCTTCCTCATAGGGCTGTTGGAAGATGAAAAGGATAAAGGAGAAGCACCGTGGAAAGGTAATGATGGTTAGAAGTTGGGCTCTGCTGGTGACAGACACCTTGATAACACCTGTTGGTTGGTCACCTGCTTCCCCAAGGCCATGTCCTGCAGCCTTCTTGACCATCCCAGCCCTGCTGATGTTCGTTGTGATTTCACAATGGAGTACTTACATAAAATTCATAACTGCTTTCAGGGAAATTTACTTCCCTTCTTCTTGTCCTGAAAACTCAGGCATGGGCATATTTCTTGGAGATTTTCTAGTTGAATCAGAACTTTCTCTTGGTTTGCATAGATTCCATTTAGACCTGCATTGTCCAGTGTGGTAGCGGCTTATTGAGTAAGCCACATGGCTTATTGAGTACTTGAACTGTGGCTTGTCCAAATTGGGACTGCTTTAGGTGTAAAATATACACTAGATTTCCAAGACATATAGGAAAAACCCTGTACACCATTTCATTAATAATTTCTATGTTGATTACATGTTGAAATATAACATTTTGGATATATTAAAGTAAAATGTGTTCTTAAGATAAATTTCAGCTGCCTGTTTCTTTTTAATTCTATTTTTTTTTTTTTTTTTTGAGATGGAATTTCGTTCTTGTCATCCAGGCTGGAGTGCAGTGGCGCGATCTCGGCTCACTGCAACCTCTGCCTCCTGGGTTCAAGTGATTCTCCTGCCTCAGCCTCCTGAGTAGCTGGAATTACAAGCATGTGCCACCATGCCCGTCTAATTTTTGTATTTTTACTAGAGACGGGGTTTCACCACCATGTTGGCCAGGCTGGTCTCAAACTCCTGATCTCCGATGATCCGCCTGCCTCAACCTCCCAAAGTACTGGGTTTACAGGCATGAGCCACCATGCCCAACTCTTTTTAATTCTTAATGTGGCTACTTGAAAATTTGAAATTACAGATGTGACTTGCATTCTGTGTTGGTAAGCTGCTTGAGAGCATTTCTTTTAACAGCAGGAGTTCTTCCCCTCATCATCTTTTTGGCTGAGTGGTCACTGCAGTACTGACAGCCTGCACCTCTCCAGCCAGAACCCTTAGGAATCATTTGGGGAGCTCCGTGTAGGGCATTGAGAGTCCAGGCAGAATGGCTACCTTGAGTTCAACATAAGTGTTAAGATGGCCATTTGAAAAGATTAAGCACAGAAGAGTCCCATTCAGTTAATCTTCCGTTGGCTGGCTGTAGAACTAAGGAGAACATCTGGAGAAACATGTCAAGGGTGTGTGTGAAATCGTTGAGCCTACTTGATTTTGTCATGCTGATGCACAGTTTTCACTTGGCACTGTCCTTTAAACTTCTTCTGTGCCATGACTCTGCAGTGCCTGGCAGCGTAGTAGACTCTACTCCCACTATGGACATGATCCCTCTGTGGTTTCTCTGCACACTTCTGTATTTCTCAGTTCTTTTTGGATTTGGGAGTGGATTTTATACATTTTTGAGTCATTCCTAAAGGGCGATTGACCCTTAAAGAACTGTGTACAGCACTTTCCTTTCAGTAAGAACATAGTTGTGTGCCATCCCCTGACATGTGGTGTGGTTAATTCCTCTTCCCTTGTCTTCTGACACCACCCTCTTATGAGTCTCTTCCTGCCCCCACAGCTGCTGCTTCTCTGTCTCCCTTCCCTCAGTCTGGCTTTTAATGGTGGTCCCCTGACGTAGTCCATTCAGGCTGCTGTAACAAAATCCCATACCCTGAGTGGCTTACACACAACAGAAATACTGCTCACAGTTCTGGAGGCTGGAAGTCCAAGTTCAAGGTGCTTACCAGATTAACTGTCTGGGGAGGGCCCACGCTCTGGTTCACAGACAGCACCTTTTCACTGTCTTCACATGCTGGAAGGGGTGAGGGTTTTTTTTTTCTGGCCTCTTTTTTAAAGGGCACTAATCCCATTTGTGAGGGCTCCACCCTCATGACCTAATCACCTCCCAGAGCCATCACATTGGGGATTAGGTTTCAACATAAGAATTTTGAGGGGACGTAAACATTCAGATCATAGCATGGCTGGAGTTCTATCCTGGGCTCTCTTTTCACTTTCCTTGTTCTCATCTCATCCACTGGTAACTTCATTGCCTCCTGTTTCCACCTAAACTTCCAAATATCTCCAGCCCAGAACCCTTTTGAGCCCAGGACCTGTCATTCATATCAGACCACCATGAGCATTTCACTACAGCGTCTGATGGTCTTCCCTGTTTCCTCACTTTTGCCTATTTTTTTTCTTTTCTGTTCCCTCTTCAGTGGGCCACACTCTTGTTCCCCTGATTCTTATGTCAGGAATGTGAGTGTCCTTTGGACACTTCCTTCTCCAGTTGCACACCAGGCCTTTTCCCTCCTGAATGGAATGGAAATGCTGCTTCAGCTGCCCTCCTCTGCTCCTCCCCCTTACAGCATTGACATAGCCTCTCTCTGCTTTGTGCCCTGTGGTTCCACTGAGCACTGGGGAGCTTTCCAGTATGCTTTTTTTTTTTTTTTGAAGAAAGAATCTCGCTCTGTCACCCAGGCTGGAATGCAGTAGTGCGATCTTGGCTCATTGCAACCTCCGGCTCCCAGGTTCAAGTGATTCTACTGCCTTAGCCTCCTGAGTAGCTAGGATTACCGTGCCACCACACCCAGCTAATTTTTGTATTTTTAGTAGAGACGGTGTTTCACCATGTTGACCAGGCTGGTCTCGAACTCCTGACCTCAGGCGATCCACCTGTCTTGGCCTCCCGGTGTGCTGGGATTACAGGCATGAGCCACTGCGCCCGGCCATCCAGTGTGCACTTTGGACTGATGTGCTTCCCTACCTGAAATCCTGTAGCAAGTCCCTATAGGATAGGCATGTGGTACAGCGTGAAGCTCCTGAGTGGTCAACAGCTACCCCATGACAACATGCCACACTCCATGTGCCACTCCCTCCCGCCTGCCTGCCGAGTCCTTGGCCCCCGTGGTGCTCTCCCATGCTGACCAGCCGGCACGGCTCACCTGGCTGAACTCTAGCCTTGCCTTTTCCTCTCAAGGATGTAAGG